AGATAGGTTTTAATCTTTTGCTATTACAAACACTGCAGTGAATAACCGGTTTCACACAGGTACAAGTATACTTGTAGATTAAATTTCTAGAGGAACTGCTTGATTAAAAGATATGCACATTCATAGCTAACAGATATTGATGACCTGCCTTCTTGGGACACTGGCCATTCCCCACCCTTCCAACACAGGCATTATTCAACCTATCAATGCTGCCAGTCTACTAATGAGAACATCTGAGTTTTACATGGAAGTTCCCCATAACGAGAGAGGTCCAGCCTCCTGCAGCATGTTTAAGAAACACTGTGGGCCCGGCAGGGTGGCTCAGCCTATAATCCCAGCACTTTGCGAGGCCAAGACGAGTGGATTGCCTGAGCCCACGGGTTTGAGATCCGTCCAGGCAACTTGGCAAGACCTTGCCTCTACACTACAACAAAAATCAGCCAGGCATGGTAGTGCACACCTGTAGTTCTGGCTACTTGGAAGGCTGAGGCAGGATTGCTGGAGCCCAGTAAGTTGAGGGAGGCTGTGGTGGCTGGGAGTGTGCCACTGCACTCCAGTCTGGGTGATGGAGTGAGACTCCAACTCAAAAAAAAAAAAAGAAAAAGAAAGAAACACTGTGCTTTTTCTTTGAAACATTTATTCATATTCTTCTCCCATTTTTATACTGAGATATCAGTCTTTTAAAAGGAGATTTGTAAGATTTATTATAAGAGAAATTAATTTCTTATATGAATTGCAACATATCTGCCCATTAATTCTGCTTCTAGTGTTTTTGTCATGCAGAAATGTTTTGTTTTGTTTTGAGTTGGAGTCTCACTCTGTCGCCCAGACTGGAGTGCAGTGGCCGCTTCCGGCCACCGCAGCCTCAACCTGCTGTGCTCTAGCAATCTTTCCGCCTCAGCCTTCCAAGTAGCCGGAATTACAGGCATACGCCACCATGTCCGGCTAGTTTTTAATTTATTGTAGAGATGAGGTCTCGCCAAGTTGCCCAGGCGGGTCTCGAACCCGTGGGCTCAGGCAATCCACTCACCTCAGCCTCCCAAAGGCGCGGGATTACAGGCTGAGCCACCGAGCCCAGCTAGAAATGTTTTTTATGTAGTCAAATTTATCCATTTTTTTTTTTTTTGGTACGCCTTCTGAGTTTTAAGTTATAGTTACACGCTTTCCCTACTCTCAGGGTACAACACGATTCTCTCACAGTTTCCTCTAGTATTTTTTTTCACTTTATATATGAAATCTTTCAGTCACTTGGAGCATATCCATGTAAGGCATGGGCTATGGACCACCTCCTCCTATGTCTGCTTGGTTGTCCCAACATCATTTGTTAACTGGCCCATCTTTTGTCATTTTGAGACACCAGTCTTAACATGCACCAATTCCTGTAAGTGAATCTGTGTTATTTTTATTGCAATCATGATAACTTTATAGATTAACTTAGAAAGAAATGACATCCTTATAATGTTGAATTCTATTATCAAGACTACAATATGCCTTTCTATTCAAGATTTCTTTGTACTTCAATATATTAAAATTGTCTTCCTATGGTTCTTGTATATTTCTTGCTAAATTTATTTCTAGGCACATTTCTGTTTTTGTATGTGTTTTTTTCTTGCTGTGGAAAAGAAAAAAGAGTGTTTAAAAAAGTAAATAGGCCGGTGTGGTGGCTAGAGCACTTTGGGAGGCCAAGGCGAGAGGATTGCCTGAGCCTGGGGGTTCGAGACCAGCCTGGGCAACTTGGTGAGACCTTGTCTCTACAATAAATCATACAAACTAGCAGTGCATGGTGGCAAGTGTTTGTAGTTCTATCTACTTGGAAGGCTGAGGTGGAAGGATCACCTGAGCCCAGCAGGTTGAGTCTGCGGTAGCCATGAGTGTCCACTGTACTCCAACTAAAAAAACCAAAAACAAACAAACAAATATATATATGAATACTACAGATTTCAGTACATTAATCTCATTCCATGCCATCTTAATGAGTTATCTTACTACAGGAGTTTTCTGGTTTTTCTCCTAGGTTTTCAGGTCTATAATCATACCATCTGCAGAGTAGTAATTTTTCCTCCTGCTTTCCAATTTTTAAACCTCTACTTTCTTTTTCTTTTCTATTACTAAACTGATTTTTTTCTTTTCTTTTCTTTTCCGAGACAGGGTCCTATTATGCTGCCCATGCAATCATCCTGTCTCAGTCTCTTGAGTTGCTGGGATTACAGGCCCGAGCCACCATGCCTGGCTAAACAAATTCTTAACACCAATACATCTGAATAGTTTTGAAAGCAAATGTTTTTAGTATTCCTGAAAAATAAGATCAGATATAGATTTGATGACATTTTGTTTTTACCCAAACACAATTCTCCATCGGCTTTAATTTGGTCAACATGGTTTTGTCAACTCTGGTGCATTTTGCTATTTAATAACTCTGTGCTGGTAAAGAATGATCCATCTCAGCCCTGAGGTGACAGAGAGGCAAGCAGAGCAGGAGTCCCCATGCTAGGTGACTGCCCAGTGCCCGTCAAGTGTTTCATTAGCTGGGGTAGAAGTACACCGCCACACCCGAGGCTTCTTCACCACTTCTGCTTTTCTTCTTCCCACAGCAAAGCCACTGAAACTTGCAGGATGTAATCTGGAAAACTGTGTATATCTGAACCCTGTAAATGGAATTCATCCAAGCAAACCATGCAGTAACATGCATGAGCACCTCTGTGGGAGGTTAGAACTAGAACTTACTGGGGGAAAAAAACAAGCCTTTTATATGCTAGATACACAGGGGACTCAAAACTCAGTATTCAGTTGAACCAAAGGGAAAAGAGATCTGTGTGCTGTTATCTTCTGCAGTACTTTTTCACTGCTCTTAAAAGCCCATACCTAGGCAGACAAACCTTCTTAATATTCAGCCTCTGCTCTAAAAGGGTATGTTACACCTCACATGACCGACCAAGGAGGAAGGAACAATCAGGTTAGTCAAAAAGAGGTATTAAGAAAATGTTCTTTGGCCCTAGGGCCACACTTCTCATGTTTTCTAGCTTTCAGTCTTGGCACCGCTCTCCCGTGATAAATGTAATAATTCCCATCTTAAACAAACACTTGCTTGTGTAGGAAAAGGAAATGGGGCCTGCAAGGCTACTTCTGTCTCTCTCTCTCTGTCCATGAAAGGCCAGCCAGTCAGCAGTTTTGTCTTCCCTTGAAAAGTCAGTATAGACATGTCTGCATGTAAGGGTAAAAAGACGAGGACTGGCTTGAGAGGTAGAAAAGATGGCACCATTAGGAAACACATTATGGGACCTTTTCTCTAGATTGATGTGAGCCTAAAGAGGCCACTCGCCTGGCAAAATAAGACTAACCAAATCTCGGCTGTTTATTTTGGAATACAAAAACAAATATGGACGCTGCTTGGGTTAGAATAACAGCTTTTCCACTTGCTGGTTATATGACCTTAACTTCTCTCTGCATAAGTTTTTGCAGCTATAAAACAGGGCTGAAAACAAGACCAACAACACAGAGGTTTCCTGGGGCCCAAATAAGTTAACACATGTTGAGCGCTTAGAAAAATATCAAAAGCTCAATAAATGCTCGCTATTATCATCCTAAGTATCAAAATATAATCTTCCTATGGAATTACAGTTGCCCTCCCATTTATAGTAAAAGTAGAATTTATCCAGCGCTGGTTAAGTTATAACCTTAAAAACTCCATTCTCGCCGGGCTTGGTGACTCAGCCTGTAATTCCGTGCCTTTGGGAGGCTGAGGCGAGTGGATTGCCTGAGCCCGCGGGTTCGAGACCAGCCTGAGTAGGCGAGACCTCATCTCTACAAAAAAATTAAAAAAAAAAAATTAGCCAGGCGTGGTAGCGCCCCTGTAGCTCCAGTTACTTGGCAGGCTGAGGCGGAAGGGTCGCCGGAGCCCAGCAGGTCGAGGCTGCGGTGGCCGGGAGCAGCCACTGCACTCCAGTCTGGGCAACAGAGTGAGACTCCAACTCAAAAAAAAAAAAAGTGGTATAGAATCTGAACTATTAGTGTGAATGTATGCATAGTAAGAGGAAATCTTGTTTCATGGAGATGCCTATTTCAGTTTTATATATGTAAGTATGTTTGAAAGTATGTGTGTACTGCAGTTGGTACTCCCCAGCAATAAATAAATACATTTCTTACTGTGGGTCCCAGCCAAGAATTTGATGAACACCATACTAGACGGCTGGCATAATGCCTTGTTTTATTTAAATTATCATTATTTCTCAGATATTTTGCACAAAAGTCTCATACATTGTAAACATATTTACAAAAAAATCCAAGTCTTCCTTTAGTACATCTCAGCATTCTGATGGTGGCAATAAATTTTAATTGTATTCTTCCCCTTAGCTTTCTCAAAGGTATAAACATGAGCCACTTAAGCTATGGCAATGCAATCACTGCTGTATATGACAACTTTATTCGACAAATATTTATAAGGTGCCCATTATGCGCCAGGTGCTACATGGATTGACAGGGATGAATAAGACCTGCCAGGAGCTCAACTGAGCATACTCTTGATAAGGACATGTGCTTTTTATTTTCATGAATAAAGGTATTGTGACCACTTGGACGTGCGTATCTGGTCTCTCTCTTATGAAGAAATCTGGAACTACAAAAACTAACAATGTCTGACTGCAATAAAAAAGCAAAAGCAAATAAATTATACTTGTGATAAATAGGTGGAGTAGAAAAAACACGCACCAGCTACTTAAAAAAAAAAAAATCAGCCCTCGGATACTAATTTGCATATTACTTTTTGTCATCGCTAGTATTATTTGACTACTACATGTGTCTTTATTGCTGGCTGAGCTTTCTCCTTATTTAGTCTGATTACTAGTCCACTGCCCATATGCATATTGCAAATAATCCCTCTCTGTTTATTTATCCCTGGATTTCTGTAGATCCTAAACTCTCTGCAGGAAGGGGCTCTCCCTGACATCTCTCTGTGCTTCGCAATGCCTAGATGATTAACAGACAAACAATATGGAGACTTTTACCTTGGGGGAACTGGTAGCCTGGGGCACAGTGAGTTGGCTTTTGAATTCTGGGTGTAGTTGACAGAATTCAAGCTGTAAACACACAGGAGGGACCCTGGAAGAGAAGACACACACATTGTACCATCTTCTCAGGTGGGTCTGTGAAAAAGCCACATCAATTTTAGCCACCAGAAAGGAGACAGGATGAACTACCCAGATTTAGAAAATAGGTTTCAGGATGACAGAACCATAAAAAAGAAGAGGCATATAATCTGAGGTCATTGAAGTCCTCTCTGTCTTTCTTTCTTTCTTTTTTTTTTTTTAGTTGAAGTCTAACTCTGTCACCCAGGCTGGAATGCAGTGGCATGCTCATAGCCACCATAGCCTCCACCTGCTGGGCTTAGATGATCCTTCTGCCTCAGCCTTCCAAGTAGCCTCTCTTTCTCATACTCTCTTCAAAACCCCACATTCAAAACTAAAAGTTACATGATTGGCCCTAAAATGATTTGAAGGGTACCTGAGAATGATTTATTGTATAAGCCTAATATTTTTAACCTAAATCTGGCAAACCATTTCTCAGGCAGATGAAATTTGTAGTGGGTTGGCTCAAATTTCTTTTGCTTTCCTTTGTTCGTTTAATCCTTATGACATAAATGAGAACAGGGGACCCTGGGCAAGGGACTTTAGTGACACAAATGCTTCTGGCATAACTGGCCAGTGAAAGCATCCACTGGCACCAGCAATTCCGTGAAAGGACCCACCTGTTGGCAATCCAGTCTGAAACTGTGGGTCCTCTCTAGGCCTCCATCTGACCCTGTCTCCTCTTTGCCCTCTTTGCCCCTTCCCTGCAGTGGCAGGGAGCACATGTGGAGCAGTGAGCATTGCAGGTAAATCCAGAAGGACCCGAATGAAACTGAATAAGCTCAAGGGAAGATGCTTACAGCCTTTTCCACACATGAGGCACCCACAAGGGAATACATGTTGCAGCTTTCCAGAGAGAACAGGGTCTTCTAGGTCCCCACAGGCCACCCCACCATAGGGAGAAGCACGAACTGGCCCTCAGTGCCTACCGCTGGTGTTTGCAAAGAGCTGGACCTCTTCCAGAGTGTCAAGCTGCTCTTCAGGACAGCTGGAGACGCAGAGGGCTGTGCGGCCAAGCCTCGCGTCTTGGACTTCCAGGTTGCAGGAATTCATAAAGAACACGTTTCTAAAGAGACACATGAAACAGAAGAACATCTTAGAGCACTGCCTCTCTTTGGGCTGAAATGCAGCCTTAAGAAGATATCCACATGCTATCAAAGTCGGGAATGACTAAGGCAACTTTTATGATGAAATGCTTCAGCGTAACTGAATATGTATGATGCCTACGAGGCAGTGAGGTACAACCTGGGAGCATCTCTCAAATGTGAAAGCTTTCTCCAGATTCAGCATGTTCTGGAGAAAACACTAAAGAGTCACCCGAGGACCACTGAGGAAGAGGAGGACTAGTAAACCGCTCACAGAGTGCTAGAACAGTCCTACGCACACACTACTCAGCAGAATCCAGGGGAAGCACATTTGCTCCCAAGGGTGTTCAGAGGTACTTCAGAAGAAACTGCACACGGGAAAGAAAGAAGAAAAAAGCAGGGGGCTGAGGCTGAGAGCTGACAGCTTGCCTCTCCCCTCTCCTCCAGTTGGAGAGCCAGGGCATGTAGGGGACAGCTAGTGCGCTGCCTAGGCACCATGAAGGTGCTGTTATCCACAGGCACACGCTAGCTTTGCCTGCCCCTCATCCAGTCTCCTAAGAGCCCAGCAGTGTGAGAGGAAGGGCCCTGCTGCTGCCTCCATGGGAGAGATCCTGAGAAGGACCCAGAGCTCATTCTTCCTTCTAACTGGGGATGGGAGAAAGGGAGGTGGTGCAGCAAACCAGGAGAGACTTCCTGGGCGTGTGGTAAATACACGCTTTTGAAATTTTTAAGAACGTGTTAAAATATACACAGATCTTATTGTCGGAATCATTTCAGGTACAGTGCCATCAAGTGCTTCCACATTGCTGGGAATCACGACCACCTCCCACCGCTGAACTCTTTGTCTTCCCAAGCTGAACTCTGTACCCCCTGAGCAATACCTCCCTCCTCCCCTCCCCATCCCTGGCAATCACCATTTGGCTCTGTTTCTATGAGTGTGATATCTCCCATAAGTGGCCTCATACAATGATTGTCTTTTTGTGACTGGTTTATTTCACTTGGCACGGAGTCCTCAAGATTCATTCATGTTGTCGTGCGTCAGAATTTCCTTCCTTTTAAATAATATTCCCTTGTAACATAGAGATAACAATTTGTTTCTCTGCTCATCCACTGAGAGACACTTGGGTTGCTTCCACCTTTTGGCTCTTGAGAATAATGGAATGTACACTTTCCACTTCAATGAGGAATGGCTGCTTTTCAGCATTGCACTTTGAATACAACATGAAACGGGAAACCAGGTGCCTCTAGGTAACTGCTCCCTCCTCCTGTCTTCTTTGTAAGTGGTTCCCATGAGTGCAGGAGCAAATGCCTCTCCAAGCAATCCATGCTCAGAAATGGCAAAGCACCCCTCAGAAGGATAAGGCCTGGTCTGAGCTCTGCATTTGGTGACTCCAAACTTACACTCAGGACATATTTAGGCCCTTAAGATTTCTCTTCCAGGAGTTGCTTTGATCATAAGTTTCAAAAAATCTTATAAGGCAGGTTCCATCCTAGAAAATTATGTCCAAGGATCTCTCTCCCCTCCAGGGGATTCCTCTCTTCTCTCCCCTTTTTGTCTTTATGCTGGAGCTGGAGGGGTAAGAATGCAATACCACAGCACCCCAGCTGAAAGTGTGTGCTGGGGAGGTATGGGACACAGACCCCAGCATTCTGAGTTAGGATTCAGGTCTTTCCACACAGAAATGATGCTGTGGCCAGGCATGGTGGCTCACGCCTGTAATCCCAGCACTTTGGGAGGTGGAAGCAAGAGGACTGCCTGAGTCCAGGAGTTCAAAACCAGCCTGGGCAACTTGGCGAGACCTCGTCTCGACAATAAATTTAAAAAATTAGCCAGGCTTGGTGGTGTGTGCCTGTAGTTCCAGCTACTTGGAAGGCTGAGGTGGAAGGATCACCTCAGCCCAGCAGGCTGAGGCTGCAGTGGCCGTATGTATGCTACTACACTCCAGCCTGGGTGACAAAGTGAGACTCCAACTCAAAAAAAAAAAAGAAATGATGCTGTGGATGATGCAGGATTCAAACATTCCCTGGGTGACATGATGCTGACACACTAAGGAAAACTGTGGTCCACAAGTGACATTTATTATGCCTTAGCTCACACAGTATCTCAGTGATCCTAAAACACCCTTGTGAGGTAGGTATGATAACCAGTTTGAAAAGATGAAAGCTAGGCTCTGAGGGGGTAAGTACTCTGCCCAAGAACTCACAGCTAACAAAAGCAGAGGCTGAATGTGACTTGGGATGCCAATTCTAAGACCTGCCCTTGTACCAACACACATGGCTCGTTTTTTATGAGATAGGTTGACCAAGTTTTGAATGGGGCAACAGTTTCCAGGCTCTAAATGGCTAATGTACACAGACTTTTGAAGTACAGCCCCTTTCTAGGCTGGGGACTTACTTAGACACTTACTTTTTTAGGGTCATGTCCTGTCCCGAAAGAGGGGCCCCCTCCACTGGGGAGTTCTTCTTGCCACACACGTTGCCAAAGCTGTCATGGCCAAAGAGGAGCCTTTGTGTGGATCCAGCCACCAGCGAGTAGCCCATGATGAACATCTAGAAAAACCAGGGGCGCGGGAGGGCCTGGTGAGGACTGGCAATGGTCCCCATGGCCCTGCAATGCGGGTATGAACGTTGCCAGGCCACACGTGAAGTCTGCAGCATCGCGGACCCTCCCTCCTTCAGTAGCTCAAATGCTCAAGATCCTGCTCACCTAAGACTTGCTTTAGCAGCTTGGCAGAGAGAGAATAAGAATCCACTGAAGCAGCTTCCACATCGTTTTCTTTTTTTAGATAGCAGGATATATTGAGAGGACAAAAACGCTCCCACAGCGGGAGGGGACCCGAAGGGGCTGCCCCACTTCATTTTCTTACCTATTTGTGCTTTTTAGCCCCTTGTTTAATAGTCTGTCATCTTTCTTTGGGGTCTAACTTTACCAGGACAAGGCATTTTTTTTTCTCTTAAGGTTCTTGCTTTATCTAAGGGCTTTGCTAATTCCTTCCCTGAGTGAATTTCTTTCTTTCTTTTTTTCTTTGGTTTTACTTTTAGGGGACTCTGTAAAGGCAACACAGTTGATATGTATCAAAATACTGTTCACAACAAGTCTGAAAATAGTGTTTAAAATAACTTCTTGAAATACACAAAATAAAGAATCTCAGGAACTCTGTCAGACAAGAACACCCTACAATCTAGCACTATATTATCCACTCTCACAGTGAACGTGGAATATTGGAAAGTTCGGATCAAACAACTGTTACATTAATATTCACAGACAGGCCCTCCTCCAAGACTGAGTATCTTCTCATAAAACAAACTTAGTGTTGTGAGTTTCTCAATACTGTATACAGTATATAGAGTACCATTTAATACTGCACACTGACAAGTTTATTCCAGGAACGTGGATGCAGTATACCATTCAGTATCATATAGTATTTATACTTTATGTTTCAAAGGTACCTAATTCTAAAGTCAGTATGTTTCAGATATTCTGTATCCAATACTAATTTAGAAATCAAAATAACACTCTTGAGGTGCCCACTGTGTGCCTGAGACTGTGTTACTAGGAGACACAAGAATGAACAAAACCTAGTCCCTGCCCTCCAGGACTCAGCCTAGAAGTAAGGCAGGACTCCAAGCTGCAGACCTCGTGGGAAAGGGAGGCTCCCTGCTTCCTCCCCCCCCACCACAGTCCCTCCTACATCTAATTGGTTAGATTCTAGAATGAGTGGGTCACCATTGCTAGTAGACAGTGTCAGTCTCACCCCACCTAAAGGCTATGGACAGACGCATGACTCTGCTAATGCGGCAGGTGCAGTGAACTGAGGGAGTCTTGACATGCTCGTTCTTTTTTTTTCTTTTTTTTCTGAGTTGGAGTCTCATGCTGTCGCCCAGACTGGAGTGCAGTGACTGCTCCCAGTCACCGCAGCTTCGGCCTGCTGGGCTCTGGCAATCCTTCCGCCTCAGCCTTCCAAGTAGCTGGAACTACAGGGGCACGCTACCACACCCGGCTAATTTTTTTTTTTGATTTATTGTAGAGATGAGGTCTCGCCTGCCCAGGCGGGTCTCGAACCCACGGGCTCAGGCAATCCACTCACCTCAGCCTCCCAAAGGCGCGGGATTACAGGCTGAACCACCGAGCCCGGCGACATGCTCGTTCTTGACACTCCATCCTTGCTTGTGCTGGAACTTACAGGGAAGAAAGCGGTCATGTGTTTCTGCCCAGCTCGTCTGTGATCAAATAATGAGGTGATGTTTTCCATTCACCAGCATCCTCAGTTTGCTCTCTTACTTAGAAAGCTTGTGGGGAGGAGTGAGAAGTTTGTTTAGGGGGAAGGTTGGAGTGTGATTTGAGTATGCCTGAGTCCCTGCCAATAAAACGACTACTATAAACTGTCCCTGTTCTAATTTCCAACATGAAACTGCAATTCTACACAAGTGATGCAGGAGGTGTGTACACTAGTCTGGTGGGCCACTGAGGAGGCCACTGTCAACTGTGGCTGGGGAAATCAGGAAAATGGAGTCTTAAAAGACAAATATGAAAAGGCAAGGGGGGAGAGGGCAATGGAGAGGTAAGTAGAGGCAGAGAAGGAAAAGACTTTGAGACTTCCTGTTCTATGTGTTTTATGCAAATATAACCACAGGCTGGTACTCTTTCTATTTTCAAAAGACCATCCCTACTTATAATTCTGCCCCCTTCCCCAAGCCTTGGTCCAGCCCTAACTCAGGGAAGCACCATCAGTAATAATCCTGTCCATCACTGGTCAGATTATCCATCACAAGACCCAGAAGCAGAACAGTAGAGGCAGAAAAAAACACTACTTGCTCTGTTTTAAATATCTATGACTAACCAAAATGTTGTAGAAGACACTAAAAGCCAGCCACAGAATGGCTGGGTGCAGTGCCTCAAGCCTGTAATCCCAGCACTTTGAGAAGCCGAGGGGAGAGGATTGCCTGAGCTCAGGGGTTCGAGACCAGCCCGGGCAACTTGGTGAGACCTCATCTCTATAATAAATCAAAAAATAAGCTGGGTATGGTGGTGCGCACCTGAAGTTCCAGCTGAGGCGGAAGGATCGCCGGAGCCCAGCAGGTTGAGGCCACAGTGGCTATGACCGTGCCACTGCTCTCCAGCCTGGGCGACAGAGTGAGATTCTGACTCAAACAAACAAACAAAAAACACCAACATAATGAAGTAAAGAGAACTTAGGCATATTAAAACCCTCAGACTTGTTTTGAGAATGAAACGTAATTTTAAAGCAGCTTCCAGCTCTGGGCCGCCTCTCGGCTGTTCATAATTCTTCAGGCTTGAATGAGCCATCTCCAGATCCTTTCCCCAGGCAGCTGCTGGGCTGAGACTCTGATAGTGATATACTAGGTCTGAGCCATGGAGGTTCATGAGGGCAGATCATTAAATCACATGAGCAGCCTGAGGTCATAGCAGCCTTTACAAGGCAGGACAGCTCCTGCGGGCATTATACAACAGCAGACACCGAGAAGCTGTCCGTGGAAGGTTGAGTCGGGAGAGCTGCAGATTCACTGTATCTCAGCTCCCGAGGAGGGTTCCAAGATGGCCACAAAACTCACTCGACTGTGCACCTGAGAACCAGCCTCTTACCACACCTGTCACCTCGTCTATGTGAAACCAGTTGGTCAGTCAACAGGAAACCAATACCTTTCTTACTTGGAAAGAAGAGCAAACACAGCATTGCAGGTTCTACTCAAACAACTCTTTTCAACAAAGGCAATTACTACCTGGTAGTTATTATCAGGTAGGCTTTATATATTAATCATTTACCATGCAGCAAACAGGCCTCCACCTGGCATGGATGATTTCACAGAAGTGGACTTTGAGAAAGTGGGGCCTTTTCTGTGACCCACTCTTCTAAAATAAGTATAAAAGCATCAGGATTCCGCTTCCAAGACTCTCCCAGGACTAAAACGGCACAGCCAGATGAAGATTACCAGCAGTCAAACATACCTGGAAACTAGAGTGGAAAACATCACTACCCATCTAACTAGAGGGCTTATATCAAGGGCCCGGCTCACCACATACCGAGTGCGTTGTGTGTGTGTGCTGTGTTCAGCTGAAGGAACAGAAACTCATGTCTAGGCTTACCCTGGCTTCTCTTTCGTTAAAAGTACTGCAAAAGCTTGAAGAATATTTGGCTTGAGGGTGTGACAGGTGGCAAAAGAACTGCTTAGACGCTCCGATGTTAAGGGGACCACTGGCCTTACTAAACGATCCCACAGCTAAGGGTGCTTCCATTTCCGGTGGGGTCATCCCTGAGGACGCGGCCTGCGCCTCTCTAGCGGCCAGGGCCGTGAGCCGACGCCTGACAAGGACTCTGCGAGGACTCACTGATGTGTGCTCCGGGCTGAGGGCAGGCTCCCTCGCTGCAGCACCCACGTGAAGCGATTTACAGCCGGGCACAGCCATTTCGTACACACGCTGGCCTCCCCCTGCACGCGCCCGCACTCACCAGACCAGTCCAGAAGAGGAAGAACAGGAATAACCACGCCGTGTCTGTGCATTTCCTGTGAATCTGGGGTCGCCACTCTCTTTGCCTAGGTGCTCTCTCTGCAGAAACCTTCCAGAAAAAGGAAGTTGAGACGATAAACAGGTGGACTCCACCGAACCGAAGCCGAACTCGAACCGAACCCAAACCTATTGGAAACCGCTCAAATTAACTGGTTTTTTTTTACGTGTCCACCTGGAGGTCTTTCACGCAACCTTGGCAATGCCTGCTCTGTGCAGGGCGGTCCAAGTCCCCAGTCGCCAGGTGCACACCTGGAGGCGCACCTGAAGGCAGCCCCAGGTTCCCGCCCCGCGGCCAGCGTGT